CTGGCCCCCACTGGACCCTCATCATTTCCTTCACCTGCTCCCCACACCGACCAAATTGTGCAGCTCTGCAACTGCATCCTGGCCCATCCTCACCCATCTGCCCCCAACCCTCACCTCCTTGTACCCCCAATATGTTTTTCCCAATAAAAAACAAACAAACAAAAAAACTCAAGATGAACATTTTACTATAAAATTTTGTAGGAAAATCAACATGAATAGTGGGATGTTTGTTGGAAAAGCAATATGAATGTTGCTGTTGTTGCTGCCTCTACGGAAATTTTGTTCCTACTGTAGATTACAGAATATTAGTCTGACACTCAGAGTTTTAATCTCAGATCTACCAGTAAGTTATATGTAACATATATAAGTATGTAATTACATATGTAGCTATATGAATATAATCTACAATCACATTTTCTCAATTTCTGTCAATTTGACTCAATATGTTTTACTTTGAGATTAGAAGAGTTGTCTACCAGAATAGAAAAGACATAGAAGTTATAACAAATAATCTCAACTGCTTTTTTTTGTCAATGAGTAATCAAAAACAAAAATTTCAGCCTACAAACAGACTTGTGGAATTAATTTAAAACAAATCCAAAGTTTATAAATACAGCTTGAGATTATTTCATTTCACTGGACAAATCCAAAAGCGGGAAGATGAATCCAAAAATCATCATGTTTTATGTAGTAATTTTGTTTGAATACTAGTTAGCTTTCTAAAAATGTATAAACATAACAAGTTAAATACAGCTAAAGATTGTGAGGATGGCATAGGATAGGACAGTGTCCAGATTGGATATTCACAGGGTTGGTATGATTCGTACTCGACTCGACAGCACCTAACAACAACAACAAATGATAGTCTACTATATAATAGCAATAAAAACAAAAAATGTATTCAAAATGCCAAGTCACATAATAAGAAGCCCAGAATATAACAACTTTTCAATGGCTATCAGAATATTATACATATATAGTAAAACCTGGAAGTTGGGTAAGGTAGAAACCTGTCAGAGATCAAACTCAAATATTTACCATTAAAAGAAGTGTTAACATATACACCTATGTTCCTAGTAGCTTTATTCAAACAGAAAAAAAAAAAAGAGCTCAAAATGCCCATCAACAAATGAATGGATCGAGAAAATGTGGTACATTCACATGATGGAATACTATGCTGCAGTCAGGAGCAGTGGTTTTGAAAAATACCTTAACACTGTATAAACTTTGGAGAACCTGGAGAGCATTATGCTAAGTGAACTAATTCAGTCTCATAAGGACAAATACTGCAATAAGATCATTATTGTAAAAACAGAAGGATTACTAGTAAAAGTATATAAAAATCCAAAGGGGGAAAGAGAGCTGGCACAGGGGCTAAGGGTTGGAAGGAAGAGAAGCACATGGTCACAGAGTCTGGTAGGCAGAAGGTGGGTATGAAGAATTAGGAAAGATCCTGTGGGGATCTGAAAACATGTGTAATAAGAACAGATCAATGGTGATTAATTTGATAAAACACAATGTATGAGAATGACTGTATGAAACACAAAGTATATGAATTTTATATCCAAACCATATAAAATCTGTTAAGAAGGGGTGAAACTATTTATAAACCACAACCAAGTGGTAGAAAAAGGGTTGGAAAAAAGCATCCTGTCAAAAGTAGAAATCTTTGAGACTCAGAAAAACAAAATATCCCATGGAATTTCAGCTCTCCCAGGTTTCACTATATTTGGGAGATAAGGAATTTGAACTCAGATTTGTGCAGGCATTTCAAGTTCAGTGTTAGTTCAAAATAAGAGTTTTCTAAAATTTATTTATGAGAAAGATCAAGAGGTTAAAAGGATACATATAACATTAACAAATGTTAATATATTTTCATTTACAGGAATTCATGTATTTTCGGATTCTAAAAGTTCATAGGTAAATAACATCATTATTTTCCATACACATAAATGTTGCTGTTATTTTTGTTGCTAAGTGTCAAGTCAACTATGCCTCATAGCTATCCTATGAAACTTGCCCTACCTTGTGTCATTTTCCAATTTACTTGAGCCCAAAAGTCACTGTGTCAGTCTTTACTAACAGAGAATACCTTTTTTTTTGGAGGGGGGAGGGGAACACTATAATTAGAAATGAATCTTTCCTAAAACGAATCTGTCACAGCAAATTTTCCTGATTATAGGTAATTTTCAAAATTTTGTAAAATATTTAGAATCCTGGACTTAAGATGAAAACTTACTAAAAGAAAAAAAAAAGATGAAAACTTACCACTTCTTCTACGAGGTCTTCAACAATAAGGCCTTGCTCATCTGTTCTTAAATTTGTAACCCACATCCATCCATCTTCTAATTCATTATGAACAATAAACATATCACCTTTCAAGAAACTGAAAATAGCAGTTATTAAGCTTATTAAAATAAAAATTTTAAGTATAAAATTTAATTAATCACATATGATATCACAGACCAAAATGACACTGGAAAATACAAGGAATTAAAAGTCAAATACTTTTCAAGACTTCTGCCCTCTTTTCCCTCGTGATAGTCCATAAGGGGTTGTATTGCTAACCCAGAGGTCGAAGCACCTATGATCCAATCAGTGTATTACTTTAAGGATGCATACATGTCATTTCTATAATCTTCAGAATAAAAGGACACATAAACAATTCCGTTTTCTTTAAAAGAAAATTAGAATGTACTTCCAAATTCTGTACACTCATGTGGGCAGAAAGTGTTTCATGTATGTCATCAATATAAAACCTCTAATAATTGCCTTTCAGACTCTCAAAGTTTTTGTTTTTCATGCTCCAACAGCAAATGAAGGTCCTGAAAGCTTTAGCCACCAGTATCATGCACTGATGCCACGGAGGAAGTAGTCCTTTCCAAGTCATATTTCCAATCTGAGTTCATCCTCCAGCACTGTGTCAGGCAATGTTCTCTTGTGAACTATCCATAAAGCTTTCATTGACTCATTATTGAAAGTCAATTACTAGGTTATTTTCCCTAGCCTGTCTTAATCTGAAAGACTGGCTGAGATCTGTCTACCAGGGGTGATACAGCTTACATATGAATCCTGGTGATACAGCTTCCATCATCAAAGCAACACACAAGTTTCAAAATACAGCAAATTGAGAGATGGGTACAATAAATATTATCAGCCTCACTTTGTTCTTTTACATGAAAGCTTAAAGTTTTGGCTGTCAAGTTGAAACCAACTCATACCTGACTCTCCACCTGGTTTCTGAGGCTGTATTACCATAGGAAAAGACTGCCTTTTTTTCTTCCACAGGGCCACTGGTGGATTTGAACTACCAAGTGGCATGCGTTAGACCAGAGAATATTCATTAATTATCCAAATCTGAATAATCACAGTGTATCATCTGCTCTCACAAGTAAAAATAGTATATATAAAACAAACTGCTAATCAGCTCTCAACTTCTTCACAAATCACCACTTTATATATACTTCAGTATACAGCAGATATACTTTATGCATACTTCCTATTTAGTCATGTAAAATATTAAAAAGATACATACTCAGGATTAAGACATAGCACAATAAATACTTTTCACTAATGGGGTTGGTTTCATAATTTAAAAAGTCATTTCTAAATCCATCCTGAAATACAATGTGGTGAGCGATAGGATAATATCCATACGAATACAAGGAAGTCCAGTGAATACCACTATCATTCAAATATATGCACCAACAACTAGAGCCAAAGAGGAGGAAATAGAGGATTTCTACCAACGTTTGCAGTCAGAAGCTGATCAAACATGCAATCAAGATGCACTGATAATAATGGGCGACTGGAACACAAAAGTTGGGAACAGAGAAGAAGGTTCAGTAGCTGGAAAATACAGGCTCGGTGAGAGAAATGAGGCTGGAGATAGAATGATAGAGTTCTGTACATTCAATGATTTATTCATACCTTTTATAAGAAACATAAATGCAGGCTATGCACATGGATCTCACCTGATGGTATGCATAGGAATCAAATAGATTATATTTGTGGAAAGACTCGGTGGAGAAGCTTAATATCAGCAGTGAAAACCAGGCCGGGTGCTGATTGAGCACAGACCACCAATTACTCATATGCAAGTTCAAGCTGAAGTTGAGAAAAATTAAATCAAGTCCACGGGAACCAAAATTTGATCTTAAGTCTATCCCACTAGAATTTCAAAACCATCTCAGGAACAGGTTTGAGGCCTTGAGCACCAATGAGCATGGACCAAATGAGCTCTGGGAGGACATCAAGAAAATCATACATGAAGAATGCAAAAGATC